ATGTTGCAAACCAAGGAAACAGGATATCTAATTTATTATTGGACAGTGTCTGTTTTAAATAGTTAAAAGAGGTAACCGGGGCTAAGGTCTACAGAGATGACAATGACCACCAATGCAGAAAGAGAATTTATCTCACCATCATGGACTCAAAACATAACTATCTACATTAAATGTGTGTGTGAGATAGAAAGTAACAACACAAATACAGTACCTCTCAGCAAATGGAGAAACCATGTGACTGGAACCTAGCTGAGCATTATTGGATTAGCCCTCCAGATATGTTGAATTGTTATGCTTATAGTTTCTCTGGTTTGGGACTATGGAAGTTGTGATACTTTACATCAGGAAAGTGCCATGTTAGGGAAAACTGACAAAGAAAAAGTCTTCAACTAAAGGACTGCCTTTTACAAACAGGGAAGCCTCCATAAAGTAAGATACTGTATTACAAAACTCTCCTGTGGGTTTCATTGTTTTATTTATTTATTTATTGGATTTATGTGGCCACCTATCTCATATGCAACTTTATGCAATTCACACAATCCATAAAAAACATAATTTAAAACGAAAGTACTCTTTCTTCTCCAGGCACCAAACCAATCATCCTCACAGCTCAGTCCCCAAACAGATCTACACAGTCCTTTGGGTGATTAAAAGGGGAGGAATCCCTCAGGTCTCAAGTGACAGGTTGTTCCAAAGGACCGGAGCAGCCACCAAGAAGGCCCGACTCTGAGGTCCCATCAGATGGCAAACATTAATTAACTTAGTAGGATGGGCAGATACCCTCAAGGAGAGGCAGTCCTGGAAGTAATTTGACCCTTATTTCATTACAGGTAGTCCTCGACTTACAAAAGTTCGTTTAGTGACCATTCGAAGTTACAACACTGAAAAAAGTGACTTATGACCATTTTTTTCACACCTATGACTGTTGCAGCACCCCATAGTCATGTGATCAAAATTCAGAGGCTTGGCAACTGACTCACATTTATGATGATTGCAGTGTCCCGGAGTCATGTAAGCAAAGTCAGTGCGGAGGCAAATTCACTTAACAACCTTGTCACTAACTTAACACCTCCAATGATTCACTTAACAACTGTGGCAAGAAAGGTCACAAATTGGAGCAAAACTCATTTAACAATTGTGTCGCTTAGCAACAGAAAGTTTGGGCTCAATTGTGGCCGTAAGTCGAGGACTGTCTATCTTGTGCATAGTTTTGATCAAGCGACACAACTTCTGTTTGCTCAACGGCCCTATAGAGTATCTTGAGAATTGTATTCCAAAAAGGGAGAGAATGGAATTCAAGCCTCGAAGAAAGACTTTAAATGGGCATATTATCTCTACAAAATGTAAGGCTCTTATTTTGACCCTTAAAATTCCTCCATATTTCCCCCTAATATAAAAATTTATATTGATATGCTGACCAAGCCATTATGGGGAAGGTTGTTCTGGATGCCACAAAAGTGATGCTGGGGTTGCATGTGTCCTATGGGCCACAATTTTTTGTACTCCTAGCTCATATAAATTGCTGGTTATCTTCCTCACTTCCTGTTTTCTGACCAACTTAAAACACTGTTGTAGCCCATTATCTTCCTTTGGAAGAATTATTATCAAACTGTTTATTTTTGTCATAGTTAGCTTATTTAGAAATGCATAAGTGGAATACAGACACACCTAGCTGGAACTAGGTTCTGCTAGGGTCTGCAAGAGATACTTGTACTCCAAGTTGCTGCTAGAAATCATGATTAGTTCTTCATCAGCTGTACAATTAGACGAGACTAGAAATTAATTCCACAAGGAAGGCTAAAGCTGTTTTTATTGAGATTGGTATAATAACGGATTCTTGCAAGTCTGATTGTGCTGCATCTCTCCCTCCTTCTTATAGTTCAGTAAATAAGGGAGGTTTCTGACGGAGCCACTTCTGAATATTATGTGACTGTTCTAGACTTTAAAAATGCTTCAGGTCACCAATCTTCTCCACTGTCTACACCAGGGGTGTCAAACTGCTGGCCCACACGCTGGATGCATCATAGTGAAACTGCGTCCACCCCATTGCTGGCAATGGCAAAAAAGTTGCAATACGTCATGACACGTCACATGACGTTGCGAGTTTGACACCCCAGTCTATACCTTTAGTGCTGGATCTCTCTTTTTAAAATGCAGTTTCTTTTCACAACTGAAGGTTCAAGTCAGCCATCATACTATTAACACTTATGGAATATTCTGTGGCATCCATTGGAAATCCCCCAATTAACTAAATGCTAATTTGTCTTTTTTTAAAATCTTACATGATAGCCAAGTCTTGCAAGATTTTAGTATCTTTATCTGTAATGTTCTGAACAAGATTTGGCCAATTCACAATATTTAGCTATACTTTCACATATTATGTGTGTGTGCACATGCACCCAGGCATGTATATGTACCTAATTTGTCACCTACTCTCAAATTTGAATAACTCTTCCAGTCCAACAGTTAATTCTCAAACCACAGCTGTGAGTCATATTTTATGTATTAAAGGTTTCAGTTGTATGAGAAAGTTTATAAACAGCTTGCAACCACAAAATGAGAGCCTATCCATTTTAAAATAAGTAGGTTTAAAATTTTATTTTAAAATAGATATGCTTTCATACCAAAAAACATACCAAGAAAAAGACATGGCAGATTTAAATTTTTGTAATTTGTTGGTATTTTGGTGTCTATATGATAGCACTCATTTTTTTTAAAAAAAAAAAGATGTTAAGTTGCAACTGTAGGGAAGTTTAAGATCATAATATAATAAAGTCTACAACTTAGCACAGATCTGAGGTCATTGAAACCCTAAAGTTTCATATAATTGAAACCATGTTAAATTATAGCCACTGAAATGCACCTAGAATTAAAATGTTCTTGCATGACAGCAGTCATTAATTTTTTTCTTTAATGTTATTTTTATGTTATTATCATATGTAGTTACTGTTTTTCCTTCTTCTGTCTTAAAAAAACGCCACTAAAATTATAATAAACATTTTTTAAAATTGGGTGTTTTTTCCCAATCATTTCCATAAATGAACAGTTGGGTTTTTTGTTTTGTTTTTCCTTTTCAAGCCAAGGATCACACTTGACTTTTGAAGAGTATTTGCTTTTCTTCCCATCCTTCCTTTTTTCCAACCCCGAGTGACCATCTGGCTCGATCTTCTTCACCAGAAGGCCCAGCTTCTTCCAGGTCCCTGGAGAGGCTTTCATCTGGTTTCAAGCATAGGAGATCTTCGGCCCATTTCTCTGCCTGGAACTCCTCCATGTGAAATTTAGTTGCGACTCCCCCGGTAGGTCAGCAGCTTCTCCGGGTTGAGTACTATGCAGATCTCGCCTTATGTAAGGACCCACCTCAGCTAACCATCCAAGAAAGCAAAACTCTTGAAACAGGCATTGTCTCAAAAGGAAACTTTTATTAGGGGTTAGTGACAGTAGGGAAGTCAAGGCGAGATCTGGGGAAAACACTGCTTAAACGGTATAGTTAAACCAGCAATATTCCTCCTGCCATCAGAGTCATAATGCCCATTTGAAATCCAGCCAATCCACAGGTGGCATAGTTGGTGCACATCTCAAGATCTCCAGTTTTGTTTCTCTGTAACCGTCTCCCTGATAAGGGAGACACATTCCTTTCTCAAGTGGATAGAGGAAAAGTAGAAAGCGAAAGTTATCCCAAGCGAAAGCAAATATCTCCCCTCCCCCCAGCAAAATTGCAGGTCCTAAAACAAGAGCACAAGAGTATATGTGCAAAGAAAACAATAAGGAATTGGGGACCTGACAAATAGTATATAAGTCTAAGTGCTATTGTTAAGTGCTATTGCTATCCTTCTACTGAGAGAAATCCAGACTTCTGCAGTCCAGAAGTTCAGACAAAATAAATTTCATACTCCAAATTGATCAAATGATTGTGATCATACACTGTAATATAATCTTCTTATTTAGCTATCTCGCTTATACAAACTAAAAATAATTTGTTATGTTCTAGTTTACCTTCAATGAATGTCTGTGGTATATAAAGTTAAGGACAGCTTGTTACAAATGTACTCATGTTTTCATTAAACACAGTCTCAAACTTTGGATGTTAGTACGCTGTCAGATGTTAATACATCTGTAAGAATGCTAACCCAGCCACAGTGCTTATTATTAATTTAATATTCTCTGGTTATAATTGCTGATAATCATGTTACATATTTTTGTGTATTTTAAAGAATTCAAATTCCTCAAGATTAAAAAAGTTAAAGTGAAGAAAGAATGGAAAGAAACAGGTCATTGAAGTGACACAAAAGGAAAACTTCAAGAAAAGCTGATGCAATACATTTTTCTTGCCTCCCTCTTGTCTCCTAAACTGCCTCTTGTAAAAAGAGGAAACTAAGCCAATAGGAAATCTTACAGAGCCATAGTAGGAAAGGGCCAACAACAACTGCAACAAATGAAGAAAGGAATTTACAATACTGTTCCAGACCTGTCAATTACCGGTACTTCCTTTTTTGCTAAAGCCCAGTATCACATTGCCCACAAAGTTTATCAGATCCTCACTCCCTGGATATCTACCAAAAACTTAGTTTGGGTTGAGAGGAAAGTAGATTCAAAGATGTGCAGGTGAAGAAATAGATGGCTATCACAAAATATTGTTCTTGATTCTATTAACCCTTTCAGATTTGAAATTGCTGTGAAAATATCAGTTGCTTTTTTTTTGAAGGGATTTTTTTTTTGCTTAAAGTTGACATTGGTCTAATGAACTTAGAAGGAAGTGTAATTAGTAGGCTGTGAGCCTAGTTCTCACTAAGGTTTTGATATGAATCATTTGTAGGTTAAATTTTCATAAGTTTGGTGTGTGATAAAATAATAAGTATTTCCTCTGCAGAAAGTGTTAGAATTCTTCTAATATAATTTTCAGAATTCTGTTCCATTGTCTAATATGATACTGTGTAGCCTAAATAACTATTCTATGAGAATTAGGCTTTGTGGATAAAAACACTGTATCACAATTTTGAGTAATGATTTTGGATTTTAATCCTAATCTATACACACACTTATATAGGCCTATTTTAAAATTTAAAAACTGCAGTGAAATTTAATTTCAATTCAATACCTTTAATTGCAATCTTGAAACAAAATGTTTATAAACGGGTAAATCAGATTAGTCAACCATTCTTTATTTTGATCAAAGACCAGTGTAAAGATAAATCAGACTATTCAGCAAAAATCTTCTAAATCAATATACTTTAAGGATAGGTAACGTATATCCTCCATAAGTTTTACATTACAATTTCCATCATTTCCATTAATGGACTTGCAAGCTTGCATTGAAAGGAATAGCAGTTCTAACCAGTTGGAAGGACCAGTAGCAGACTAAGCCACCAGCTTATAAAATATTTGACATTATTTATAAAGTGCTTTATGAGCATCAAAAAACCATTTTTACATATAGCATTTCAAATTATGTAATAAAGAATTAAAATATTTACAGTTCTGAAAGTGTAAAATTAAATAAACATATATAAAGCAGTCACAAACCAAACTACAGAAAAGGTACACATATATATGAGTGCACACACACACACGCACACAAACGCACACACGAACTCCTCTCTAATTTCCTCTGTATAAAACTCTTTCCAATTCAGCTTCCAAGATTTCTCCCCAGGTATCTACATCCATGGGATACATACATTTTTCTGGTAAATTACTCCGTGACTGAATATTGCTATATTTTCCACTCAGCCAGTCATACTTTACTTTGCTTTTCCAGTAGTTTCTATGCAGCGTGACCTGATAAAAGCAATTAGAGAAGAATAGGAGATATAAATAAAGATACAAAACATATATTTCTTATGTATAAAACGTCTTATCTTGCAAACAATTCCATAATTAATGGGGAAAAAATCAATTCTCATCTTCTTAAAAGCTGACTTTAAACCACATTATTCCTATTTTTCACAGATGAAGAATAATTTCATAATGTGAAAACTCTGGAAAATCCTTTCATTTGAAAGGACATATCTATTCCATACCATATAGTTTTCATTGCTTATATTGCAAGTCATTTGAAGCCATTATTCTAAGAATTACTTATTCCAGGGAAAAAAATAGAATGGATTTCTAATATATTGCTGCCCACTAGTGATTCATGGAAATTATTACACTCTCATCTAGAAGATTCAGAGCTTAAATCATTGTTACAACCAATATGTTTACTGAAACTTTTTTTATATAAAAAGAAAAAGTACTTTAAGCAGAAGTGGATTAGATTAAAGAAATGGTGAGTTGGATGAAGAGCTTGATTCTTTCTCTTCTGGACAAAATCACATCACCAGCCAAAAGGTCTTTCCCTCCTTTTTAATATCACAATACATATTTGTTGCAATATTGAATTACACCTGTGCAACTTTGATAGTGGATTCTGTTAGGCCTTTTATTACATACCTTGAGACCCTTAGGAACACGTTGTTACATTTTGATAGTAAAATGACGATTTTAGACATTGCAATTTGTTACTGTCAATTTAAGATATACTGTAAAATATGTTAAATAGAGCTATATAAATCTTTGATCTATAGTTGTTGGTAATTGCTTACGAGTCATAGTTTAAGGTGATGGTATTCAGCAACATCTGCAACAAAGCATGATGATGCCAAAATGACATGCATGGGATAATGGCACCATGCAATGGATGCCTCTACGTACTTGCACCCCAACATTTGAGGCAAATCTGTAAGTTACAGCATTTGTGTGATAATATCACATTTTATCACTTGCCCCCTTCCTATGGATGCCAATGGTAGTATTGATTTTTAATGTATTGATCTCAATGGCCATGTGACTATGCAAAATTTTATAATGTTTCTCATTATAAACCTGTCTAACAGCACGGAAAATCTTTTTGAAAATTCCCCACCAGAAATATCTTTCAGGTGCAGGAAAAGAGCCTTTCATTCCTTCTAGGCTAGGCTAGGTTTTCCCTTGGGAGTTGTGTTTAGTCCCCATTGTCTAAATGATTAGAAAATCCATAGAGATTCATGTCTTTTGTTAGACTTTTATTGTTTTGCTTTATTGTTTATTTTATTGTTAATTCTAATACCTGCTCTTAATTTTTAGACTGTTTTTTCTTTTTTTTATTGTATTAAAAATAGAAAAAGCAGAAAGGAAAAACAAAAACAAGCATGACGATCCTTCTATTGTGCCCCCTTATAGCTTAGGAAGCTAGAGATAATGCAGAAAGGGAGAATAAAGTGACCCTTGGTTGTAAAACGTACCCACACTAATCATATGATAGTTGCATACGTAGTGAGAGTGAAGTTAAAAAGTAACTGTACCTGAGGGTAAAAATACATTATGTGTTGCTATTAGATTTTTTTTCTTTGTCATCTTTTTTTCTAGGTCTTTTATGAATAGCCAGCTTTACTGCTAGAGTATTCTATCTGGCAAGACAATAAAAAGATCTATATCTGTCTCCTTAGGCAATAACAAAATACAAAGTCCTGCAAACTGAAATAAAACAACTGTGGCAAAAGAAAGCAAAGCAACAGTAACAGGTGCCTTGGGTGCAATCCCAAAACAACTGGAGTACCATTTGATCACCACTGACATTGACAGAAACACCATCAGTCAATTGCAAAAGGCAGCTTTACTCAGAACAGCTTACCTCCTCTAACACCATCAAACATCAACATTTTCCTATCTCAGGTCCTTGGGAAGGGTTCAATAGGTGGATAAAAATGCCAAATCCAGTTTGAATATCTGTCTGTGTCATGAGCCATAATAAAGTCTTAACTGATTCTTATAAATATGGTCCCTTATAAATATGGCAAATAAATAAATCAAGCTTCAGAAATAGTGAAATATGGCTGTTGTTTATAAAACATATGGTTTTGGCAAGTTAATATATTGAGTTCGCCTTCAGTGGGAGAAAAATGTTTAAAGGTGTTTCAAATGATAAACAGAAAATGCATAAAATATATCTGGCTAGTTTTTGCTCTAGAAATACAGGAGCGAAAGACTGAAAGGATGTGCAGTTTTTGTTTTGCAATTTATTTGTGTGTTATATGAGAAAACATAGTAGTTAACATGAGGCTTCCTCAATTATGCGATTGCTGCATGATAGAAGATTTATTTTAAAATAAGCCCTCCTATAATTGCCTGTTATCCCAATACAGTAGACTTTTTTTTATTAAATAGAAACTATAATGGAAACTATGTTTCTTTCTGAGAAACTGCCTAGGCTTCTTATAGAAAGCAGGAGAGTACAACTAGATCAGGGGTGTCAAACTGTTGGCCCGCAGGCTGGATGTGTCATGCAGAAGCCGCGCCCCCCCAGCTCTGGCAAGGGGAAAAAACTCACGATACATCGCGACACGTCCCGTGATGCCATGAGTTTGACACACCTGAACTAGATAATTGTACTGTTGAATCAATGCTAAAAGGGACAGCAAGCTATGGCCTGCTTCATGAATCTCACAAAGGTGCAGAAGTTTGATGTCATGTTGTTGCCATCTATCCTAGAGGATGGTCTCTCCCTGGACATAATTCAAGAAAACAAGTCCGCTTGGAATTATTTCTGGGTTTTGTTTAGGACAGGGATACATACCCTCAGTGGTGGGATTCAGCCGGTTCGCACCAGTTCGGCAGAACCGGTAGCTAATTTTTTGTTGCCCAGGTCCAGAACAGACTTCTGGAAGTGGCATCCACACAGAGAACCAATTGTTCACATATTTGAATCCCACCACTGCATAGCCTGCAGCTTTAAACACTGGCAACTCTTATTCTGAATTCGCTGTGAGCCCAGGCTAATAAAGTTTTTTCAATTTCAAGCATGGAGAAATGAAAACTGGTGTGAGTCCTAAAATAGGCTTGTCCTAAAAAAACAACCCTAAAATAATTGCTGTTCCAAAGCCGGAAAATCCCATCTGTGTAATGCAGTTCTGTCCATTTGAAATCCTCCCTCATCTTCTGTGCATCTTGATCTCTCTGACGCCCAACCAGCAAAAAGTTATTTATTCCTTCAGCCTAATTTCCTAGAATTGGAGTGAAGTGAAGCCAAACTAATAATTCAGATATTCTATACAACAATTTCTATATTCTATTCTAAATAGTAAGGCTTTCACAAGCTGCAGTCCAAAATTACTAGCAAAATCTTGAAAGCAACTACTTATAGGAATATATTGTCTCCTGCCATTTTTTTTTCTAGTTTTGCCAAAAAATAAGACAAGTAGCTTAGTCTTATACTACAGATTAACCTTCAAGTAAATACCCTAAAAGCTTGACAAATTTCAACTGTGCCAAAAGACTTAGTGATACTGTGCATGGAATATTAGATCTGGATATAAGAGATTATACTATAATCAAGCATCAATTAAACTTACTTTCCATGAGTACCCTTTTCCTCTGTCACCATCAACCTCTCGCTGACAGACAGCTCTTATATTTAAACAGTGGTGTTTCCATAAATCATCATAGTGCTCAATGGTTTGGTTCCAGCTTTTGCAAGTTGTTGCTGCATTGCACAAGCTCTGAATGTCAAGTTTGCTAAAGATCTTTAAGCTGACTTCTAGTGGAAATAGTTTCACAAAGTCCCCTTGACTGTTGCGTTTCTTCTGTTTGGAAGATTTAAAGAACAATTTCTTACAAGTAGTCGTTGCAACAGTCTGCTGGTTTTGTTTGGATGATTTCTGTTTAGACCCTTTTTTCATAGTTTAGACTTTGTTTAAATACCAGTCAGCCTGTCTGGAAAAAAAATAAAATTATTAGAAATGAAACTATAATAAACTCTGTTTAGAAACATTTGCTGCTACTTAATGTCATTAAAGCACTATTTCTGGCTAAGTATCAGTGCTATGTACATGTACACAAAATATCTCTCTGTATATAGTGACTATGAGCACAATCATTTTGGGAATTTGGGTTTTAATACTACTGCTTACTGTTTTTTCTGAATAATACTTTGCCTTTCTTAAGAAACATACTGTATAGATATGTGAGTGGATGTGTATGTGTATGTGTGTCCACATAGGCAGGCATATTTTTTTTCCTATTCATTTAAATGGAGCATCTTGAAGTGATACACTAACTGAAAAGTAGCAATTATCCAGAGACAAATTTTCCAATCTGAGCCAAAGGAAATAATTGCTCTCAGATTTTTGCACATACTACACATGTCCACCATATGAAACAATTGACTGTTTTGCTTCAGTGTGATTATGAACCCCTGGAAAAAATGGGATATAAATCTAATACATATCATTATTACTTTATTCATTTCCAACTCACACTTGTTTGTTGCTTGAAAGCTGGACAAACGTTTCTATGACTGCAACAAAATTGCTTTGGCAGCTGGGCCTGAGGAAGTATCTGCTTGGAGTGAAGCTATTCCTCTGTGTAGGGTGGAACACAGTCTCACTGGCAGACAAAAAGGGTGACTTAGGATGATTGTTTACCTGAAGGTAAGGATACATTCATGGTCTATCCATGTATCATTCATGTGTATTTATTTATTAATTGATTGCTTAGTTTTACATCCTGCCTTTTCTTCCAGAACTGAAGAAATGAAAAATAAAGGAAGATCACCATGGTGATCTTTCTTTATTTTTTCACAAGAACCTTACAAGGTAGGCTAGGCTGAAACCAATTGACCCCAAGCCACTGGCAGAGTAGATTTGCAATTGGGTCTCCCAAGTCATACTTAACACTTTTATCCATTTTCATACTGACTCCATTGTAAGTCAAAGATCCTACATTATGACTGTAGTCGAGGCCTGTAAAACGTGATGAGCCATGATCAGAATCTGAAGACATATGACAGAATAGCATAGATGGGACAGGTAGTGACTACATATTTATATGACAAAAACCTGTTTTTCTGGTTGAACCACTAACTATTATTCTTAAAGTTTTGAATCTTCAGTTTTAAATGACTTCTGCATCCTACATAAAGCTCGCAGCCTGACAAGCGTGGTCTGATTCCTTCTGTTACTGCAGCATGACAAATTTGGTAGTGTGGTTGGGAGGAAAATTTAAGTGATGCTGTCAATGATCTTGAGCCATTCTTCTAAAAAAAGAGACACCTTGCCCATCAACTAAAATACTTTTTATTTTCTCACAAAAACACTCCTCAAGGCTTTTGCAGTAGGATGGTGAAAGGGGGGGAAACCCCACAGAAGCCTGGAATGTTTGGTGGGGCTGATATTGTGCTGAAACCAACATTAGGGGGGAAAAAAGGCACGAGGAGCTTGGCAAGAGGGCTGATTTAGTAATAAGCTAAGAAGCTAAAGGTCTTATATAAATGTAAATAAGTTTCACCTGTTAACAAAAGAATTGGCAGTTGTTTTGCACAGCCACACAAATAAGCCATCCTTTAATATTAAATGCAGCGTGAAGGGAAATATGTAAGTACTGGAGTACTTGACTACTGTTTCCCTAGGATTTAAAATTGGGTGGCTTAAAACATTTTTTTGGAGGGGGTTCCAATGTAAAGCAATTAGCAATGCAAGCTTCATCTATTTAAATGGATCAAAACTATGTTTCTCTCTTTGGGAGTTAGTGACTTTGAACAGAATCTTGAGGATTCTTTCTAGAATAATTTTTGAAGTATTGAACCTTATTAATAGTCATCAAATTTACATACACCTCAAATAAAAAGTCCATGCATTGAATTAGAATAAAAAAACACAATTAAACACACTAATTAGCTCTCTCCTGATATATGTAAGCAGTTTTTTTTTATTTACAGTTGCAGCTAAAATAGGATGGGCTGTAATAAAAAGTGAATATATGTAGCTCAGGGATGAACTGTGGAGTCCTTAGAACTCCAAGCTTGGTTGTTCACAGGATGGATTGTGTTTGTGGGTGCATATATACAACTGTTAGGAATGGCGAACTTTAAAGGAGTTGAAACGAGGGGTTCTTGGTGCTCTCTGAGCTTGGTTGCTTTCTTGCAAACATTTCATTACCCAAACTAGGCAACATTATCGATGCTAGTTAGTTGAGTAATGAAACGTCTACAAGAAAACAACGAAGTTCGGTGAGCACCAAGGACCCCTCATAGCGAACTTTGGATATTATAACGGGACACTGTGCACTTTCCACACCAGCTCTGTATAAGTCTACGAAACTGAAAGGAATTCGCCTGAGAATGTACGTCAAGGGATTCCCACAACCTCCCCGAGACACCCTTATTCTCAACGAGAATAACGCCGCTATTTAACTGCCCCGCTCCCCAGCTCCGCCCTATTCGGTGATTGGATGCAATCGCGACGTCACCGACGAACGCAGGAGGCTCGAGGCTCCTCACCTGGCTCCCGGCCCTCCGTTTCAGCCAACGGTTTTAACGGCTTCTCCCATTCGAATTTGTTCGTTTCCTTTTTTTTCTTCCCCATTGCAAATTACGTAATCAAATTACGTGATTGCCGATAAGCATTTTGGGAGTTGTAGTTTGATGGCGAGGCAGGAAATTCCGTAGTGGATTTGTGGCGCAGTTATGGGTGTGTTTCTTTCAAAAGGCAGCGAGTTATTGGTTACACCGGAACGGCATGCTTCAGTTCAGCAGATAGGAGGGGTATACGCAAAACGGGACGGACGGTACGTTGCTGTTTTTTCTTCCCCCTTGTGGAATCTTACTTCCAAGGGGAAATGCGAGAGGCCTGTTGCCATGTCTGGGTTTCATTTAGTGCCATTGGACGGGGGTTGCCCTTTGCCACTGCCACTCGGGGAGACAGTGATAGGAAGAGGCTCTTTTTTGGGAGTAAGTGCCACAGCGATTCGCCAAAGGAGTGCCAGTTTGTGTAGTATGTTTGTGTAGTTGACTGGGAGGACGAACGGCACTAGCAGCGAGTTCGTGAGCGACCCCTTTGTGGGCAAGTGAAGGAGATACACACTTCCTTTACATTGAATCAGACCGTGAACTTTACGTTTCCTTACAGACGGCACTGTACCCAAACAAATTTGGGAAGGCGGTACCTTTTACCTTGATGGAGGCTTTTCAAGATTTAAGCATGCTTTTATGAAGTATTACAGCGTCTTTACCTGGTCATGCATTCAAAGCAACCTGATGGACCAATGAGACCCGCCCCACCAGTCAATTAAGGGGCTTGTCTTTTGGAAAAACTTGGTGAAATCAATCAATAAGATTTAATGGACTTTGTTTGCAAGCTAACAAAAAAAAATAACATATCAAGGTGGAAAGGCTAAAAGAAGCAATGTTGCTTGGTTGAGCCACTTAATAGTACAATTAAAGGAGTCCAGATCATTGCACCAGATCTTACATGCATGTAATTCATATGTTGATATTAAATATGCATATTTTATCCACATTGGTAGGACCTCGACTTAGAGCATCTGATAACTTTAGTATAACTTGTATTGTGGCTTGGTGATATTAGAAGAATAATTTGGGGTTCCAACTTGAGCTGGAGTTGCTGATGAACAAATCAAAATGAAATCCAAACACTGAGGAAAGGAGATTTATTTATTCCCGAAAGAGGTTTGCTCTTGGGATTAGGTTACAAAGAAAATGGGGTGCAGAGACTTTTTGTACAGGGGGATTGATCCTTGCTGTGGACTTGGGGGGCATGATTGTGTACGTGCTGTCAACAGTTAATTGTCCTTTCTGATTAGATGTGCAGATTGAGGTGTTTCTGCCCTGGGCTTTGATCTTGAGGTCTATGTCTTTGCCACTCCTTGTAGCCTTTCCTTATAAGGAGTAATGATAGGAATATATGTAGAATACAGAGTTTAACTTGGATGTTTTTTGGATCCCAAACCCTTTCAATCCTGTGACTAGTGCAACCTTCTCAAACAGATTGAACAATGGGAAAAACCCATCTAAAAGTTTCAGTGTAAATTTTCCCCTTCCAGACAGGAGAAGGATATCTCATTCTAAGAGTGAAATAAAGGCCATATGAGGATCCAGTGTGACATAGCGCTAGGTTGCAAAATGCAAAGCACCAAATCTAATCTAGGTTCAGCCATAAAGTTTGCTGGAGGTTCACCAGCTTGTAGCTACCTCTCAGGTCTCTCAAAGAAGGAGCAAAAAGTAAAGATTCTACAACAATACAAATACTACTCCTAGCAACCTTTGGTGCTATGCAAATGCAACCAATTACTCAGCTCCTAGGTGCCTACTTTGCTCCATTGGATGAAATCTCAGTCTTCCTGAACTCACTGTGTGGTACTCCTACCAGCTACCTCTGGTGCTGTGCAAATGCAAACAGTAACTCTTCTTTGTTTTTATAGTAATTTTATTAAAGTGTAATATTTACAATAGTAAAAACTAATACAAACTAAAAAAAAAAGAAATAATAGAAAGGGCAGAAAGGAAAAAAATAAAAACAGAAAAGAAGAAAAGTATGTAGCAAACAAAAAGTAAAAATTTAAAAATAGTGTCCTTTCAAAACCACAGACTGGGTTTGAGCAAGATGGCTATTACTTCATCTCCTAGAGCTCTGAACCAGCAGGAGACCCTATCTTGTTGTCTCCTTGTGAAGAACAGCTGTCTGAAGAACTTACTAGGCTCTGGAGAGGAATTATCAAAGAGACTTGCTGTCTCTTCATTCTACCTCCATCAGCTCTGCTTTTCACACAGTCTTCCACCAGAAGCCTTTTGTTTCATTCTCTTTGAATTAGTTCTTATGGCATCCTTTAGCACAGAGGTCCCCAACCATTTGGGCACCAGGGACTGGTTCCTTGGAGAGAAGTTTTTCCGCAGACCAGAGTGTGTGGTTTTGTGTGCTGCCTGCATCTCACAGATGGGGCTTTGTTTGCGGACCAGTTGCTGGCATGCCATGGCTGATACTGGTCCATGGATTGCAGGTTGGGGACCCCTGCTTTAGCATACTAATTCAAGGTTGGAACCTCTTTTTGAGTCCAGAACCATACATATATTCATTATAATTTCAAGAAAAACAGTATTTTTCATACAAATACATTTAAAGGCATATAAATATGTAAAATGCAAAAAGAAAAGCCAATATAAGCAATAAATACAGATGGATAACCACGAAATCTCAAATAACCAGCTTTTTTTATCATTGGAATAAAATTCCAATTTTCAAGTTGTTTCTGAAAGTTATAACATTTTCTTTAAAAATAATGTTGCTTTGGTCAATTTTTTATTTCATCAACCTCATTGTGATTGTGCTTTCTAATTTGCAGATTATTGTTTACTTTCAATAGTTGAAAGAAGATTATCACACTAATACCGTAATACGCTATATATTTGATTGAGTATAGATATTGTATTGTCCACTAGAGGTCACAATATTCAAGTTCTGTGAAGGAACCCCCACAATTAATTGTACTTCTTGAAGGCATATTGTATATTATAGTTATGTATTATTACATACTTGAAATTATAATTATGTTCTCAACTCTCATTTTAGTTTAATAAGGGCTTTTCCAGTTATTCAGAGCTGTGTAAATCTTCTAAGTTGATGACCACAATAAAAGAAACTACAAGGCAATTTGTTATATGGTATTACTTTTGTATTCAGTTTTTATGGATCACAGTTGAAATGTTTAAGGAATAATGGCCTTTCATGCTTGTATTTTGACCTATTAGCCATGATGGATACATACCAAAAAAGGACAAGGTTTCTGTATCTTTAATATGAATTTACTTAGATATTGTTTGCATGATTATACCTACCGTCTGAAGCTCCCATTCTGTAATGCTGTTCAGGTGGAAGAGCTCTGTTTTTAGTTAGTTGCTTTTCGCTGTCTATTTTCCAGATAGTGAATATAGATTTAGAAAGTAAATGGAGATGCTCTTTTGTTTTTCTCCTTTCTCTGTGCCTTAATATGAATATGTATTTAAATTAGCTCTTTAGTTCTTAATTGGATAGCTTAATCTGTATTTGACATGAGTTGCCATGCATATTTTATTGTGTGTAAACAGGATGAGCAGTATTTTCATTTTAATAATAGGTAAAACAAAACAGTTTATCTTTGAAGGAAATAGCTTATTTATACAATAATTTATTATACAAAAATTATTCCCGTCATATTAACTGCTGAAAAATAATTGAATTGTCTATTTCCAGGTTACAGATAAAAAAGTTTCCAGGAAGCATGCTATTCTGAAAATAGTTGGTGACCAGCTTAGCATCAAACCGGTGGGTAGTGTTGAATATCCTTTCATTTTTAGCCCTAAATGGAAATAGAGGCTTAAATGGTAGAATTCAAAATTAATAGTGATATATATATAGCTTGTCCAGGAGGCTTGAATCAGGCAGAGATAGGATGCTACCATATATTCTATCCTGTTATTACATCATTTCTGCAAATGATATATTTTCTGAAGCCCTCACATTGATACAATATGGCGCAAACCCAGGAAAAACCATGTTTCTTTTAAACAGCTGCAAACAATACCAAAAAAGTGCCTGCACTGGATCCAAAGCACATTTACCTTTTCTATTCTTCTAGTTCACATGCTACCGTATAATGACAACAGGCTGGCCAATTATATTTGCACCATGTTATACCAGCTGAGCCTAACTTTTATTTAAGAATTACTACTACCGTTAAAGGAGCTACATATTTTTCTAGGCTTACATAGAAAGTTGAAAAGGAAAATGCCTATTGTAATGAACAACATAGAGGTGCTGTGCTGTGTTTCAAAATACAATTGGCCATCACTTCAAATTTCTCTTTTCATTTCCTAAGTATCTAGTGAATATATTTGTGAAGTAAGATTGAAAGAACAACTATCTTCAATAATCCAATAGTCTTTAGTTTCCTTCTTTCCACTATAACATGGGCATTCCCGGTGAGTGAAAAACAGCAAGGAAATGTTCTGGCTTGCATCTCAGATGTTGTTAAATAATTGTACCATCTGTGCAAAACAATCATTTGACATCATCATGTCTTGTGATCATTATTGTTAAGCTCTCCACAAGGGAGCCTGAAATTCTCTGTAGTGGCATTTGGCAGGAGTGTAAATTGATGGAAATACCTCATGCAAGGAATTTTCTTGATCCTGTACTAGTAAACCTTATTTGTGGTCTGTGAATTCAATTAATATATAACAATCATTTTCTCATTGTGTTTAAAGTAATTACTCTCCCAGAATAAGCTGCATTGCTGCATTGTAATGGAATCAATCCACATTAAATAAGCCTATTAAGTCCTACAAGGTCTTCACTGATATCTGTACTAAGAGTCTTCTTAATTGGCAGGTCCATGTGAACCCTTGTTTTTACTGGCCTGTTGAAGATGACCAACTATTTCCACTGGATAAAGATAAGTGGCATCAGTTGTGTCCAGGTGACAGTTTTTCTCTGTTAGTAGACAAATACATTTTCAAGGTTCTGCGTACTTCACTGGAAAAGGAAAGCCTGCTAAGGTAATGAGATTTGATGTTGAAAAAGTGTCAGTGAGTTTCAGTGTCAAGTTGCCTCTTAAAATATAATCTGATATGCAGTATGCTAAATGAGTCAAATTATGTTTGAGTCATTATGATAAGTGGTAGCTGAATAAATTATTTGTTCTATTTATCTCAGCTGTAATTGCAGGTATTACTCCTTCAGCACAAAAAAATAAGATGAATACTATAACAATTGTACATATGCAAAATGTAATTAGAGATTTTGTACATACATATATACACACATATATATAAATATACTAATATTTTAAATATTGGATGTTCCTGTATTGTTAGATAATTGAAACATCATTTTTTTTTCAAAATCACAAAAAGTAATGAAAGTTGTAATGACAGTTCAAGGACAGCACTGCAGCAAACCTCTGTGTAATATTTCAGAGCAAAACAGATTTTTTTTGGGTCAAATGTTCATTCCTGATGTGGAATGGAGTAGGAACATTAGCTTTACTAAAATAGCAGGGAATAAATACCTTAAATTTATAGGGCATTAAATTCATAGTATTTAACATAAAATACTTATTTTTCTCTTGTCTATGAACAGTATTTGTTTTGTGCTTAAAACAAATATTGTAGCACTTATATATATGCTAAATAAGATCCAGAACGTATTGTCTATTATCATGGAAAAACTACAGAAGCTTATATATAGCTTATTGATTCATTACATTGGATTGTACAAATTCTTTAAAAGGCATTCTTTGGAACAGGCAGGAGCACATATGAAGCAACCTTCCATTGTTATATTTTTCTGGCTTGCACAGCTGTTTTGAAGCAGCTTCCAGCTGTCCCTCTGTACACATGCAGAACTACTTTGTTTAGCAGCAACAATGGGATCAGCTTTCCAAGCAGCAAACAAGCCTGAAAAGAGACATAGCTCCTTTAAGATTAAAGAAAAAAAGCTTCTTGTAGATCCTGCTTTTGATTCCAAGACACTTAATTTGCTTATTTCTTCAGTCTTTGGTGGCAAGTTTGGGCTGGTTCCTTTCCCCCAGCCTTAGAAGGGGGCAATGGCAAACGCCTTCTGAAATTTTGTAAAGAATACTGTAGGGACTAGAAGTCAAAAATTGACCTGAAGTCACAAAATAAAAAGGGTTAAAGGAAATATAACAACTGCAGCAACAACAATAAGAAATAATAAAAATAATTCCACTTAAATAATTTGAGTCCCAAATCATAACTTTGGGTAGAAATTTTAATTTCTTCTACTAAGTAATGAGTAACAATCTGTGCCAATCCATTGCCATTAAGAGGTTTATTATATGCAATAGGGAAAATGGTAATCTCTGTGTAGAAGACCTACCAGATCAAATCCCCACAACTCTGCAGTCAACCATGACGTCTCACAGTCAGCCTTCAGAACAATCAACAATCCCTTCTAACAAAAAACAGCTTCCAGAAGTACATTCACTTATGGAAAACGCAACCGAAATCCCAGAGAAGGTAATTTTCAATTATGGTGTACTGCAATTTTATTAATGGAAAAATTAAATGAATTTTATGATGGAGATGTTTTTCACATATAAGAAGAAATATGAGGTAGTAGAAAATCTATTTTCAGAGAAGTTGTGGTGACAGGGCTGAGCCAGTAAGCTAAAAGTTAGGTCTTTATTATCCACGATGTCCCCAGGTCTTACTTACCTTGGCCTGTCTTCCTGTGCCTCTACACAATATAGATTCAAATCCAGACAAGTGAATGTGAATTCTGTATGGATTATTAGTTTCAATCTTGTGATCACGGGTGGCATCTCAAGAGAGCTTGTTTTGGATGAAGTTACTTCTGTCATGTAAAGAGTGTTATTACCCGGTGAAAGAGTTAGGTTGAAAGTATATCTCTTTACTGTGAGTGGAATAGTCTTTGTTGAACTCACTGGGATTAACTTCTTTAGAAGTCTTTGTTGTGGGGAAAACCAGAGGAGAAAGGTGTAAGGGATATGTTCACCACCTTAGGTTACTTGTAAAAATAATAAAGGCAGGATACAAAAAAATAACTTTGGGCAGCTTGCCTACTCTGATTCAAGAACAAGACTCAGTAAAAACTGAAAAAAGATCATAGTCATCTAGAAGAGAACAGAAACCAAATCAAACAACAACAGTAACCTGTAGCCCTCAAATTATGATCACATTTGAATCTGGAATTTTGATTGTAACCTTTTTATGGTCATAAATAGAGTCATTGCGTAACCAGGCTCAATTTTACAACTATTTTTTACATTGGCCATTGAGTTACTATATGGTCGTTAAGCAAATGATTTACTTAATGCCCATGGCAAAACTTGCACAATACATGATTATAGGGTATTGCATCTAGTCATAAATGTGAAACAACTGCAAAGCATCGGAAATACTATCACATGGTTGTAGGGGTGACGCAGCAATTGTAATTCCAAGGATGGGTTGTAAATAACTTTATTTTAGTCATCATAACTTTGAATGGTTGTTAAGCAACTGGTCATGAGTCAAGGACTACCTTTAGCCTTGAGGGAGGCCAGGGAGAACAGTTAGGTTTTCAGGGACTTTCAAAACATCCAAACATGAGTTGACTAGGGCATGATACAGCTGCATTAATATAGGAATATAAGGTATTGTGACAACTATGGAGAAGGATGTTCATTGATCTCATGTATGTATTATTCTTTTTTTTAATCCCTGTGAAAAATATGTAATAATATATTAATTTCCTTTTTTGTTTATAGTTTACTCTTCCTAAAAAAGAAGAATCAAGGCCTGCTCAGCGAAAAAGACAGCTTCCAGAATGGATGCTGCCAACAGATCTAATGGCTTCAACTCAGTCAACCTCTAAAACTGGTAAGTGTGAAGATAGATTTGCTAGGGAAGTCATGGCAATTATCTTTCCTAAATTCTCCTTTTGACTATGTAATAATAAAATTTCATTAACTGTACTTTTGCTTGCGATTCCACATTGTGTCAACAACAAAATTGAGATACATAATAAAGTTACTCAACTGGGATCTGATAACTTCAACATAATCAGGATTTTGTTTTATGTTGATTGTAAAATTTTGTTGTTGCTTACTAATACAGGACCAGCCATGTTTCTAATTAAATAATGAGATGGTAATCAGACATGAGATTGACGGTGGCTTGCATTAAAAGACAACTCACCATTAGTTGATTTTTTTTCATCTGAAAAAGGTTTTGAAAGAATAATGAACAAAAATATTCCAGTGATATATTCTGTTTCCTTTTACTATATAGCAAGAACAAAACAAATTATGTCTGAATTCTAGTGTATTCTTAGAGTTATCTTAAGTGTAAAATGCTTTTTAAGAATTTTAAAATATCAGAACTTACACTAATAACTATGTAAATAGAAGTTGTCTATAGTGTGTGACCTTAAACATGCCTACATTTATTAGATTGTACAAAGGGATAATTACAGGTAATCCCAGAGTTACGAGCATTTACTTAACACTCGTTTGAAGTTACTGACAGACGCCCCCTAGTGTTTACGAGCAAATCCCAAAATCACAAATAATGCAGCACCATGGCTCTGCAACATTCACTCTATTTCCCCCCCCCCCACTTCCCACAACTGCTTTCCCCTCCCAGCCGCGCTGGATACATTCACCTTGCAAAATCTGTCTCCTTTCTACTGCGGTTTCTTTCTCTTTGAGGGAGAGGAGAATCGGCTTGGAAATGCTTTTTGCGCCGAAAATGGAAGCTCCCGGGTGCCGTAATATCACGCAAATTCAAACACAAATTCTCTGCAAAAGACATCATGGTCCCCAGAAGCTTCCATTTTCGGGGGGGGGGGATTGTTTGCTTCATTTGCATGCCTATGGGCAAAGTGTGGAATCGGAGTTGGCCGGGCACAGGAACCAATGCCATCCATTGCCCGGGTGTGCTGCTTGCTCATGTGTGCCGGCCTTAGTTTGAGGGCAGAAACAAAGCCTTCAACTGAGCGAGGAGGCATTGCAGAGCCAGGCCCCTTGTACCTGCGTCCAAGCCGCCGCCACCGGTGGCAGTAGCCACGTGAGCAGCCATGATTCCCCTGCTCCAGTCAGCCACCCACCCACCCTGCCCAACCTACTCCTTGCCTGACCGGCTGGCTGGCACAAATCCTGACCACTCTTCTCCTTGTCGTCCTCCCCACTCAAGCGATGGCAGCGGTTTGAGTTTCTTGGCTCCATCCAAAACGAAGAAAGCGGAGATGCAGCAGCAGGATTGCTCTGCGCTGCTCGCTCACTTGCGCCGGCCTTATTGAGAGCAATCCCGCTGCTGTGCCTTTGGTTTTCTCCACTCGGACGGAGCCAAGAAACTCAAGCCGCTGCTGCTGCTTGAGTAGAGAGGATAACAAGAAGAAGAGTGGTCAGGATTTGTGCCAGCTGGCCTGCCAGGCAACAAGTAGGTCAGGTCAGGCAGGGTGGCTGGGCGGAGGGGATTATGGCTGCTCAGGTGGCAGCTACCACCGCCTCCACCAGCAGCTTTGCTTTCTTGGCTCCATCTGAGTGGAAAAAAGCAGAGGCGCAACAGCGAGATTGCTCTTAACAAGTCTGGTGCACGTGAGCAAGCAGTGTACCTGGATCTTCTTGAGAACAATCCTGTGCTGTGTCTCCACTTTCTTACACCCAGATGGAGCCGAGAAACTCAAGTGGCTGCCACCGCTTGAGTGGGGAGGTCGACAAGAAGAAGATTGCTCAGGATTTGTGCCAGCCAGCCGGTCAGGCAAGGAGTAGGTTGGGTGGGGTGGCTGGGGAGGGGGGAATCATAGCCGTTCAGGTAGCTGACACCGCCAGTGTCTTGTGTTTTGAAGCGCTCCATAAGCACTGAAACACTTTTTATCCAAATGGAGACTAACACAGACTGTAAGCTTCGTATGCTTGGAATGGGGCGCTTGAGAAAGAGTCTTCTTCTCCATTTCTCAAACATGCCACTGGCAGCCACGCAGAGCTTGCAGTTGTCTGTCAGTTCTCTGTTCGGATAAAAAGTATTTCAGCCCCTATGGGGCATTTGAAAATGAAGCGAATGCTTCATTTCCAAATGACCCATAGGCGCTCTAAAAAGTCTTTTTACCCAAACAGAGACCTGACAGATTCTGGAAGCTCAGCATGGCTGCCAGTGGTGCATTTGAGAAATGGAGTGTTTCGCTCCATTTCCAACTGCGCATTTGCATGCAGACGGAGTTTCCGGTCTCCCCAAGGCCTCCGTCCTGATGAAAATTGTTCCGGCAGTGGCGGAAAGGAGTTGGGGGTGCACCACAAACACCGCGAGAGTTCAGGCTCCCATTCTTTGCAAAAGAGGATGGATGCCTGAACTTGAGCGATATTATAGGTACTCAGGAGTTTCCATCAACTCTCCTCTCCCTCAAAGGCAGAAACGGCGGCAGAGAGGAGATGGATCTTTTCAAGGTAAGTGAGTCCGATGCAGCAGGAAGGGAGGGGGAAACATGAGATATCTTAGTGGGTCGGGGAGCCCTTGGCCTGTTCTATCACTACCCCCCCCCCCCATAGCCTTCCCCACCCTGAGATACCTCATGTTCATTTAACGAGCCGCACACGTGTTAATGAGCAGGAAGTGATCTCGTTCAAGGTATGAGATTCATTTCCACGAATTCTCGAGTTATGAATGGAATGGGCAGGCTCATTAGAGTGTTTACCCCACAGTAAACCTTACAGAAACTAAGTCTTCAGTATTTTTTGTCTGCTTAGGTAAGGACTTTTTTAGTAATTATATAAATTACATTGATCAGTCTTAAAATTTGAAAATCTTTTATTTTCTTATTAATATGATAATCCCAAACTAAAAATAGTCTTTTTTTTAACCTTGCTTTGAATGGAGCCTATATACTTTCTGTATTTTGTAGCTTTTATTATAAAATAATAAAATGGTTCTGGAACATTGGTAATAAAAAGGACAGTTAAAATTATTATGCACTATTTGGTAATAATTTTTTTTAGAAATAAATCTCTGACATTCTGAAGAAGGTGGGGAGAATTTTGTCACTGTGATATAATAACGTATAATTTATTAATTCTAACATGCTCTTTGAGCAAGTATAGACATACTGCTGAAAATTATACATATTTCAATGATGAATGCTTTTTTAAATATATGTAAGCATTGGTGGAGTTGCATAAACTATAACAGTATTTCTCTACCTCAGCAACTTTAAAATATATGGATTTTAACTCTCAGAATTCCTTTGTAGCTCAGGGTTGACTGAACACTGATGATGTTATCTAGTTTGGGTAATGAAATGTCTGCAAGAAAACAAGCTCAGAGAGCACTAACCCCTCATATATTGTTTTACATGTAACTATTACAGAACATATAGACATATAACTATAAGTTTATTATGTGTATATATTTTGTTATATATACATATAGTTGTATCACCTATACCACACAATGATTTTTGAGTTCTTCAGTAAAACATTGTTTTGTGCACACTGGGAAGCGCTACAAATTTTCATCTTAGGAATGTTATTCAGTTTTGCGTTTTACAAATCAATAGAATTGGTCTTAAACAAGCAGAATGTTAATACATTGTAATTTTCTCCTTTTAAAATAAGACAGTATAAAATCTTTCTAATATGTGCAGTTATTCATAGCTTAGATGAGAAAATTGTTCAGTTCAGTAGGATTGTTTATTTTTAATCAAAATAGGTAATAATGAAGAAATAAAGCCAGATCTAAGAAAAAAGCAGAAAATTCTTGAAAGTGAAGATTCCACCCTTCTAAAAGAGGTATTTTTTTCTAATTTTTTTCAGTTAATACTTTTACTGACTTTTATTGTTCTTTTCATAGAAATGCACAATACTTATAAGGAAGAACCTGATCAATAGAGAAGCAGCTATCAAATACCAGGGCCAAAAGGGTGATTTGATGCAGTCCACATGGTTCATCCTGTTTTCTACTTCTGAAACAGATCCAATTCATTTATTTCAAACGTCCTATTTTTTTTCCATCTGATGTTTTGTGCTAGGGCTTTTTTATTTCTCACGAAGGACACTGATTGCTTTTCATGCTATTAGAAAAGTGAGAATTGAGGTATATATTCAGATACAGGCAGAATCTGCTTTTTTATCTTAATGCTAGTGACCTCAGTGGAAAGGGCTGGTGAAAAGGACTGATGGACCATTGCCCTAGTATTACGGAGAATAGCACCCCATTTCATGATATATAACTGGCCATTATATTCTTGCAAATACTAGTCCTTAGTGAAGCTGTGACTTACAAGAATGCTTTTGATTTCAGGAAGTCTACTTATTAATTCTGTCCAAATGTCATAGCTCACATGACTCTATAATGCAGACAAATCTATGACTGGTTAGATAATTTTTGTTATTGTTGCTTTGATATCTTAAGGTTAAAATATGTCACGGAATCTACCTTTATAAAATATACTACACTTAATAAGATTTATACCCAAATGGTGCCAAATCTTTTTAGTAACTGGACCCAAGAAAAGCATCTCAGTTGAGAAGGGAATTTGGGAAACACAGTTCCCTCGAAGTGGCAAGTCCACATTAATTTTAATAGTTCTGCAGTGTAGGTAAGAGAGTCCTTATTTAAGGATTGCCATATTTTCCATTTTTACTACTATATAGTCATGAGGGAGCACTTTGGGTTGTGTGTTTTTTCAGCACATATTAGAGTCATGTATAACCAATATTGGAACTTTAAATGTCCCCACTTTCGTTAGCTAGTGGGAATTATTCTTGAAATTATTTGCATTTTGCTAATTAGACTTTCTATTGACTTCCCATTTCTGTTTGTCTTGAGCTAAATTCTGTTTATGACTATTTTCTGCTATCAAAATTCATTTTTACCTCAATTTCAAGATCCTACTGTCAAAATCTCCTTTCTCATAATTCACACTATTTATTTTGCTCAGGTTTATGATTTCTAATATGACTCTGCTAATTTCCATGCTCCTCCTCCTTTTAGTATTCTATTCCCCCCACTTCTGAAGTTAATGCTAACTTTCAACTTTCTTCTAATTGCCACATTTTTCCTTAATATTGTTCTCTTTTATTTTCTAGCATTCATTGTCCTCATAATTGTTCTTCTTTGTGTACAGAAGATCCATGAAACAGGGACCTGTCTAATTTTGATTGTGTTATGTCATGTATGCTGATTAATTAATCTATTTCAAGTAAAATCTATTTTCACACAAATAACAGTAAATTAAAATCTGTTTCATGAACACTTTCATACAAATTTTCACCTGTTATAGGAGGTATTTACTAAAGATGTTGCAAAGAAAATGCCAAAGATTGGAAGTAAAAGAATATCTCAGAAAGCTGAAAGTTCAGTTGAGCAATTTAACAGTCAGCTGGATAATGAAGAGCTGGATCTCAAGTCAGATGGACAAGCATCTCAGCCTACTCAAGTGCATACAACAAATACAGAAGAAAACAAATTGGAGAGCATTAATTCTGAAACCATGCAGGTTTATAAGGAGAAGCCATCACAATCATTACTCCATCAGGGTGATATTCAAGAGACTACTCTGAATCTGGCTATTGGAATAGATACTTCAAATATAACGGAAAGTCAAGAGATGCAACAGAGTTCTCACATAAACAAACCTCAGAGGATTGCTTGCCAATATGGGAGAAGCTGCTACAGGTAAAACAAGTTCTAAATGTCAATTTACTAATCCATAACCATATAGTCTGTGGACAGGGGAGTTCTTTTTATTGTATTTATATTTAAAACTAAGCAGTTGACACATTGTATTTTGCTTATGTTAAATACTTTTCTAAGTTAATACAAAAATAATTTTATAGCACTTCTATATTGCTCCAAAGTGCTTTACAGCACTCTCTGAGTGGTTTACAAATCTCAGCATATTCCCTTCAACAATCTGGGTTCCTCGTTTTACCAACTTTTAAAGGATAGAAGGCTGAGTCAACCTTGAACCGGTGAGGGTTGAACTCCTGGCTGTGGGCCGACTTAGCCTGCAATACTGCATTCTAGCTACTGCACCACCAAGGCTCCTATAAGGCACTAATCATACAGTTTGAGAGTTTGCAATTTGGGAACTGGCATGTATTTATGACAGTCATAGTATCCTGGTATCATGTGATTGCTCTTTGCAGCCTTCCCAGCTGGCTTCCAACAAGCAAAGTGAATGGGGGAAGCCGGAATCACTTAATGACAGTGGCAAAAAAGGTTGTAAAGTTGGTCAAGATCATGTGATGGATGACTCACTTAATCAGCTGCATCAGGAATTGTATTAGCGATGAAAGTTCCAGTCCCAAATATGGTGTTAAAAACTAATACTATATTAAAAGGGAAATGGAATGCATCAAATTAGTATTGTAACCATTTTATTTGATTTAATATACCTGTCAAAATATTTTATACTGCGATATTGGATCTATCTTCTATTAGTCTATTGCTGAGAAAGAGGTCTCTGAACTCTTAAATAACTTTCAGGTAAATGTGTATGGCTGTAAATGTGTATTTGTTTATGGGTACTATAGTTAGTTGCATAAGAAGTTTGTTTTGAGTTTTCTGTCAAAACAGGTTTTTTTGTAACAATAACACAATTAAAAGTAAGAGTGTTTACTCATACATGGTTGCATCTTAAGAGGCTTCTTTTTGTGTATGCTGTAGTTCTGTAAAAACACTTCTCTCAAGGCAAAGTTGATTCTCATTCTTTTAGAATAAACGATAGCGAGGAAGAAAAAGGGCAGAATGCCTCTTAAGAGAATAACTTTGCACACCAAAAGTAGACTGAAGCAATTAGAAGATAATCATTTGACAATTAACTGTTTACTCTTGAGCAAAATCAGGTGCTAGGAGAGGTGCATAATACCAGATTGTGTTTTCATTGTTTTTAAGTTTTTCCCATTACATAGGAGGCACATTGTTCCCATATCTAAATGTCTGTGGAGATTCTCAGTGATCCAGGTCATGATTGTCCTAAAAGTGCTTTTACTTTTTCTTTTTTTGCTTGGATGAGAAGTGAAACATCTTCAAAGAAAAACAAAGTCCAGATGCCTCTTGAAAAAATACCTTTGGGATTGTTTCCATATGTATCTATATGCATGCTTTTAATACCATGTAAGAATAAATGAACATAAATAGTATCCTGTTAAATTAGAGACCTGTTCTATCTTGTCCAGCAGTTGGTTCTCTCAGTGGCCAGCCAACTGCCAAGGAAGCCTACTAATCTCCCAGCAGATGGCCCTCAGAGGCAGACACATTGCAGTCAAGGCTAATAGCCATTGATCCCCATGACTTCCTTGAATTAGTCCAGTCTTTTTTTTTTTGAAGCCAGCCAAGATGGTAGCCAATATTACATCTTGTGGTAAAAGTATATGTCTTGACTGATGCGTCTGTGTTTTGATCAAGTTTGATCTCCAGTGCAGTACGTAAATATAGCAAATCCACTGTGATCAAGTACATTCAGAGCTTGGAGAGCTGGAAGGAGAAAGACATTTGTCTGAGTTTTAAAATGCACAATATTACTATTCTTCATGTGTTCATCAGGATTAGCATTGCCAGACGTGTGCTACAGATAGAGAGATAATACAATATAGAGCTTTATAACTCTGCAAATTTTTTCTGCCTTTTCAGTTTTCACTGTCTCATACTTATCTAACATAAGCTTTATGAGGGACAGTAGATTCTCCCCCTCCAGAAAAAAACAAGGAGTTCTTAATTTATTTTATTTATTTATATATCAAATATAAGACTATCTAGCTCACTTATAGAGCAACTCCAGGCAGTTACCTTTGTTCTATAAAATTCCCCCATACTGGAATACAGTCCTATTTGGCCAATCAAATTAGGGTAAGTTTCAGAAAGAACTACTTGCTTTCTTTAATTTTAGTTGAATTATTTTTGTAATATTAACTGATTCTGTTTTTTTAATTGTTTTAATTACTGTATTTCATTCACATTAGTTCAACTGAATTAATGGTGTTGTATTTCTCCCAGCTGCATACATTTGAAATACGTCTTGATAGTTGATGTAGTATTTCTAAATTTCACAGAAAGAATCCTATACATTTCCAGCAGTTTAGTCACCCTGGTGACAGTGATTATCATGATTCAGAAGCTGTAACTCATGTTGATGATGATAGGCCTGAATGTCCTTATGGAACAGCTTGTTACAGGTAAGAATGATCATTTAGAATATTTTTGAAGTTTGGATGATAAATATTTCACTTGCATGGTATGTCATTGGGAGTTACCAAATGTTCTTTCTACTGATTGACTCAAACGTAGCACATATACAGGTAGTCCTTGAGTAACAACAGTTCGTTTCAGACCATTCAAAGTTACAGCAACACTGAAAAATGTGACTTATGACTGCTTTTCACAGTTAACACCTTTGTAGCATCCCCATGGCCATGTGATCAAAATTCAGCTGCTTGGCAACTGGTTCATATTTACGACCATTGCTGTGTCCCAAGGTCATGTGATTACCTTTTGTGACCTTCTCACAAGCAAAGTCAGTGGGGAAGCCAGATTCACATAACAACCGGGTTACTAACTTATCAACTGCAGTGATTCACTTAACAGCTGTGGCAAGAAAGGTCGTAAAATGGGGCAAAATTCATTTAATAAATGTCTCACTTAACAACAGAAATTTTGGGCTCAGTTGTGGTCGTAAGAACTACCTGTGTTTATGGAAATTGTGTAGACCCAGCTTTTTACCTGGATAAACATTACACATCTGTTATTAAAGGTTCACTCCCACCCCAAAAATAAAATCCAAAATACGAGATTTTAAGTCACACAAAAACTATATACCAAAGCAAAAAGCAGTTAAGACCATTGACCCAACCTGTTCCTGGAAGAGATTATAACAACTGCAGTCAAATACTGCATGAGTGAATCCAACTAGACACAAGTGAGAGCCTTTGTTGGAGCCTAACTTTGTGGCAATTAGGGTGACGAAAAAGGCTTATTTCTCCATCCTTATTGCATTTCCCAAGTGTTGGCCAATGGCCCTGTTCACAGCAACCCAGTCCCTTCTGGGTTAGGATGGATTAGTGGAGTATCTGCAAGGTCCCTGTGGGGACTGTTCTTCACACCTGTTGAATAAAATATTTTAGTGACTTGTCAAAGAAGAGTTTTGCTATATAATTCAAGGTTCTAAGTCCTACTTTTAATTACATTTTTCAGCAAAAAATTATTTTTTACAAAGGGTCTTGGAGAGCCATATTTTAAGCATAAGTTCCATAGGGTACATTTTTAGCAACTTGTATTACAAATGACAATTTTCCATTATTTTGGTTTTTTTTTTTAAATAAACAGCTGATTAGCTCCCATTCAAAGCTTTTTAAAACTTGATTTTACATTGTGGCTTTTCTATATGACATATCTGGGATGATGCTCTTTTACAAGACAATGATGGAAATTTCTAAAGCTTTGGAATATTTTAACTGAAAGCCCACTCTTTAGAGCATGTGTTACTGGGTAGAGTTCTTGTCTATCCCCTCAGTTGATTTCCATATCAACTATACTATCTGGGTTCTTCTTTTTGCTTGCCATTTTTGTCTTTGGTGTTATGCAGAATGTGTTGATTCTTTTTATCTCTAGAAGATTAACTTTTTATTGACTTTCCTGCAGAGGAAATTTTGTTACACTGAGGTGCCTATGGCAACAAGAATGCCTTTCAGAAAGAGGGTCTGAAAATTTTCCATCACTAATGAACATTCATTTTGCTTCATTGATTTAGCAGAAAGATACAGCCAAGGCTTTTGCTCATTACCAGTAGCTCATTAAAAAAGGTCAGAATGGATTGTTCCTCCTAATTCCCAACTTTGAAAATAAGTCTTATCACGACTTCAACAGCTTTGGGTTCCACAAAATGGTAATTTCAGTACAAAAGCCATATAACTGACCTTCTTTCGTGACCCTCAGCAGAGTTGGGTTTAATGGTTCAAGCCTCAGTAGATGGCATTCAACCATCCACACTATTGTTCTTCCCTCAAAGCTGCAGAACAGCAAGTCAAACTCATATACCTTACCCTCCCACCCCCTGCAATCCTATGTTTCTTTGCCAGCAAAGAAAAATTCTCCATTGCTTTATTTGTGGAGCCTCCAATTATGCCAAAAATCAAAGCAGAGCAGTAACTTCTCTTGCATTCTGGGCATACTAGTTTGGTTGCAGACCCCTAAGAAGACTAACATATTGCAATTCCCCGCCCCACCCCAAAAAAATATTACTCTTCAGGGAGGAATCTTAAGCATAGGAGCCTATGATAGATGGAGAAATATTTGCAGCCTTTACCAGTAAAGATGGAACTGACTAAAGCTGCCACTCCCCTAACAAATTAATAGATCAAAAGTTATTTTTTCAAAATGAGAAAATCATATTTCCAGTATGATTATAATTTATTTGCTTCCCTTGAAACAAAGATAAAGAATCATTTGCTTTGTCTTTTGTTTTTCTTTTCATTCGAATTTTCAGATGATTAGATGGAAAACTCAGGTTCATCTTTTCCAATTCTTTCTCTTTGCAGAAAAAATCCACAGCACAAGTTGGAATATAAACACACAGCTCCTCCAGGTAAAGTGTTTTTATTGTAATGTATATGAAGGACAGATCTTTCTTAAGGTAACTTAATATGGAGGTAAAATACCAAAGACTGTGCCCAGGTAGTACTGTGGAAGTGTTGTTGCTTATGTAATATGGTGCTATAATGGGAATTGATGTGATTTTGGAAGGTTTTTTTTATTATAGTTCAGGTAGTTTGATTTGGTTTTTGACTATAAATTAATTAAACAATAAAAGCAGTGTTGCTTATTAAAGACTGTACACTAACATAATACATTAAAATATATCTTAGTAAAATTAACAGATATTAAAGATTGAACAGAAATGCCATTTGAACCAACTTTGGTGAGCATTCTGGAACTCTCAGATTACCTATCAGCTAAGAAAAGAGTTCTTTTCTGAGCTGCCATACATCTGAATTACTAGAAGCACTTTTAAATCCAAGGTTAAACCAGATAAAAATAATTCATAGCAATATTGTTAATTCTTCCATCCAGCAGAATATTAAATTAAGCAGATATAAGGATTTGTCCATAAGTTGACAGAAGATATTAACCAAGTAACTGGCAAGGGAGAAGGATAAGCTGGCCAGTTATGATAAAAGTGGAGAATTATATTTAAAATATATTGAATACTGTTGTCAAGAACCTATTGCTTCAGGTTTAACCAAAATTTCTTAGAACCAAATGAGGTAGCTGTTAAGCTGTAAGATTTTAAAACTGCTATAGATTAGTAACTGCCATAATGACATAAATTCACAAGGTTAAAGAACCCAGGCAACTGTGAATGAAAACTAATATGAGCCAAAATTTCAAGCAGCGAAGTTGTATGTGAAACTCTAACAGAAATTAGACCAGATTCTAATCTTAATGTAGAATTCAATACTTATCAGGGAATTTGCAGCAGGGATTTAAAAAAATATATTGGACAGCTTTAATATAATTGAATTATGATGGTAATATATTTGCACCATATAAAATATCACTGATATATTAAATATAATTACATATACAGATTATATTCTACTTCTGACTGGAGTAAAACTATTGCATTATCAATATATTAAAAAGGAGCTTGCTGTATATAGCAAGAAAGATAGAGGAGCAACTTTGGCAGGCGGGGCAAGGGTATAAAAAAATCAGGATGGTGGGCATGACTGCCATTTTTTAAATATGGGATGAGATACATGAAAAAGTGGGTGAGGGGGCTTTGATTACATAGTTTTCATTGCCAGGATGCTTTTTTTATTATCCCTACCTGTATGGGTGTCTCTAGCAAGCTATATTCCAGTCATGTCCATAGAAATGAGAAGTGAAATGTATTTTAAAAAAACATAAGAAAGTCCAGTTGCCTCCTGATAAAAGCACCTTTGGGACAACCATACCTGGACGATTGAGAATCTCCATAGACGTCCATAGAAATAGCTTGAAAGTAATCAAGTATAAATTTGTCATGGCACAGTAGAGAATTTCACACCTTTAATCCCAATTAAAAACAGTATGAAACTATGAAACTGGGCCCCTTTCCTTTTTGCCACAAATCTTGACAAAATTTGAGTAATACAGTTCCCTAGTAGTAAGGGGCAAAAAGAT